CTCTCTCTCTCTCTCTCTCTCTCTCTCTCTCAAAACAAAGCATTATATATTTGTTGGTTGAAAACGAATCCAAAGAATAACAAAAAATAAGTTGTATTTGAGTTGAGTTTTTCAATAACTAAAAATATTCGTGAAGTTATAGACTATTTAAGAGTGAAATGGAATATAAATAAAGAAAAGAGTCATAAGAGGATCACTTGAACAATATATTTATATTTTTGGTACCAAAATATAATTTCAAATACAATACTCGTGTCTTTCATCAAATATTGCATTCAAATTCACTATTGCTTTAGTGTTTCACTTAATTATATTTTCGCCTCAACTCTGGAATAGAGAGTAAATAACTAAAAGTAGAGTTTCTTTAATAGCATTATATAAGTAAAGGAAACATTGGCTTCACTTGAGTATTGGGTTTGGAGTGAAGAGTGAGTTCTGGTCGCGTATATCGTGTATGCGCTCAACAGCGCCGGCAGAACAGGAAAAGCCACAGAACATAAGTTAACACATATATTGATTACTGATACTACTTAACGACCTTTCACTTTATGGCACACTTTTGCTCGCATACTATTGGATCCACTCTTTCATAATCCTTATTAAACACAATGAACGAAAAGAAAGTCAATTGTCTTTCGATTCACTCAAACAAATGCTATCAAAAAGGGCATCAATTCCTTGATTCCATTGCAAACCAATTATTTAATGTAAACATTTAATCAGTGTTTTATTATTATCTATTTATTCAAAATAAATATAGTTTTAAAATAGTTTTGATTTAAATGCTGCACAACATCTATAATTCATAGACGAACAAAAATATCAATAAAATATGAAATTCTGTTGTTTAACGACATAAACATTTTTATAAAATACATTTTCTTTAATATTAGGCAAAAGATTACGACTGGAGAGCATATAATAGTATATAACAGATACGAAATATCTCCTAAGACTATAATACACGTACTATTAGTCGTTGAGTTTTGCTTTCGATTTAAACTATTTTGCTCTGAATTACAACATATTTGATGGCAAAGAATTTGGAAAATATATATTGAATCCAATTTAATGTATATATAAAGCAGAGAAGAAGGAAAAGAATGATTCAGTGATATGAGAATAGACTGAGAATTTTTTGTTATATAACTGAAAGAGAAGCCGAAGTGGGAATAGACTGGGAAATAGCACAAGAATTGGTGCATTTTGTACACCGCGACAACATTTAGCTCCTGGTTTGCTGTCACTTACAGCGCATACAATGCTATGTAATGTAAGTCATAGCGAGTGAACGAAAGGCATACAGACATACAATCTCTAACACAACAGGAGCTCTGAAGAGTGCACTAAATCGATAGCTTCGGGTAAGAGATAGAGAGAATGATTCATAAATAGTACTCAATATTAGACCCAATGCTTAGCTGTTGTGTTGACGGCAGAGAATCCGCACAAAACACCAGAATTGCTAAAAGAGATGAACACACAAAACGAGACGAGACTTATATTAACGCTTTAAGTAAAACATACGAGAAATAGAAAAAATGAAATATAAAGACAATACTAAAAGAGAAACAGCGGAAGAATGAAAGCATTCTGTGTATAACACATACTATCGCTACAAATATACTAACAATTGAAAAATTGTATGAATACTACACTTTTGAACAATAGTGAAGAAAAGGTTAGAAAACACAAAACATATTAGCGTTTGCATCGTTGAGAACACCACTTAATAATAGATATATAACTGAATTCTTCTTTCCTTTATATCAATATTTCTGTTTTTGTTTTAATAAAAAAATCTATAATACATTACTAAATGTTTCCACACATGATAAATTAATTTTATTTTTAGATAAAATATTTTTCATTAATTAAAAACAGCAAAAACGTGATCATAAAAGCGAAGTGTGAAATAATGACTTACTTGTGTTTCGGTGACGTTTAAAAGTTTAGCCATTTCTGCCCTTTCACTCGAAGATAAATATTTCTTGATTTCAAATTGTTTTTCGAGTTCAAAGATCTGTCGTCCGGTGAATGTGGTTCTGGCCTTCTTTTTCTTGGATTTATCGTTACTATTGAGTGAATCGGAGGCAACCGTATTGTCTATCGACGCGTTAGAGTCCGCCGACGAGTGCGAGTGTGAGTCCATTGCTATGCTTTCAATGGTTTCATTACAATAACTCGAATCAATTGCTTTCTTCGGATTCTTGTTTCCATTACTTGTTGTCAAATCTAACGTTGGATTTATGGCAACGCCTTCTTTCAATGTTTCCAGCGATGAATCCTTCTTTCGTTTCACCCCTTTATTCACATTCTTTCGATTATTTGATGTCTTATTGTTATCATCGCTGGAAAGATCTGTTGGGATATAAATTAATTACTTTAATCGCTATTTAATAGAACTTTAAACAAAACCGCAGAATAAACTTATAATATTATATAAATGTATAAATTGGCTAATAATATGAAATGTTATTTTAAGTAGATATGAGATCAGACTCAATCAAAATACCATTAAGAATGCTAGTGTTGTTTAAGTCAAATAAACAATTATTATGTAAACATTGACTTAAAATAATGATAGAATCCATAAAAATTAATGATTTTTGTAATTAATATTGCATTTTACTTAAAATATTAAAATCTGGTAATTATTATTTTACTTTTAATTTCATTGAAATTTCAATCAAAATAATTTAAAAATTTAGTTGGAGTTAAAATCAATTATTAATAATTTATTATCACATTATTTTTAAACAATTTTTAATTATTTGTACTGAATTGTTGTTAAATGATTTTCTCATTACAACAATTGTTTGACAAGAAGTGGAAATAAATTTAAAAAATTTCAACTAATTATTCTTTAAAAGCTAACTTTTTTGCTACTCTTTTAATTTATTAGATTAATTTAATATTTGAGCAGATATTATATTTTATGAATGATCCATAATGATTATGAATGATTTTATGAATAACGTAATTTTACTAAAATCTTAATAAATTATTTGTTGGTAACAATTTGTGACTAAAATTCTCAATCTATTACTGTATAAAATAAGAGAGAATAATAACAAAACAAACACAAAAGTCTCTTAAAACTAGTGAACAAAAAGCATACAGACATACAATCTCTAACACATTCAGTGGCGTCCAAAAGTTTAGCCATTTCTGTCCTTTCACTCGACGGTAAATATTTCTTGATTTCAAATTGTTTTTCGAGATCAAAGATCTGTCGTCCAGTGAATGCGGTTTTAGACTTCTTTTTCTTGGATTTTTCGTTACTATTAAGTAAAGCGGAGGCAATGGTGTTGTTAACCGATGCGCTCGAGTCAGCCGATGAATGTGAGTGTGAGTCCATTGCTATGCTTTCAATGGTTTCATTGCAATGACTCGAATCAATAGCTTTCTTCGGATTCTTGTTTCCATTATTTGTTGTCAAATCTAACGTTGGATTTATAGCAACGCCTTCTTTTGATGTTTCCAGCGATGAATCCTTCTTTCGTTTCACCCCTTTATTCACATTCTTTCGATTATTTGATGTCTTATTGTTATCATCGCTGGAAAGATCTGTTGGGATATAAATTAACTTTCAATGTTTCCAGCGATGAATCCTTCTTTCGTTTCACCCCTTTATTCACATTCTTTCGATTATTTGATGTCTTATTGTTATCATCGCTGGAAAGATCTGTTGGGATATAAATTAATTACTTTAAACGCTATTTAATAGGGTTTTGAACGAAATCACAGAATAAAGTTATAATATTTATATAGATATTAATGTATATATTGGCTAATAGTATGAAAAGCTGTTGTAAGTGGATGTGAGGCCAGACTCAATCAAAATGTCATTAAGAACTCTAATGGTGTTAAAGTCGTATAGAATCGTGAGTTTAATGGCTTTAAAAGTTGCTGAAATGCATAAACACATCGCTATAACTGACTAAATGATTAAAAATATAGCATTTCATACGTTATGTAATGAATAGAATATAGACAAACAAGGTTTGCAAGCAAAGTTCTGATTTAACCACAATTCTGGTTACTCGAAAGTAATAGAAAGAGTTCAAAATAGCCCATTAAATATTAATTTTATTAAGGTAAAATTTTTATTGTTATATTTTTGATATTGCTAATATTTTTAAGATTTAAATTTTTATAAATTAGAAAATCCCATAGACTTAGTTAGCACTACCCATAAAGTATAATTGTCCTAGATTTAACATTAGCACATAGAATAACATTAGGCGCATGTTAAAATGTAACATAAACCCAAGCTCCCATGTTATTCACCATAGGGGATAGGAGGGTGCGGCTCGATCCAATAAACCACAATATCAATGATGAATTGTGGTTAAAAAACACGACTAAAAGAGTGTTAGTTGTGTTTCATTCAACAAATCATCCAAAGATCCTCTCAATTGTTTTATTCAATGTTAGACTCATTCAAGTCTAGACTCATTAACAAAATAAATGATTAT